CTAGGGTTATGGATAAAATGCATGCAAATCGCCGACTAAAGGAAAACTAAGACCTAACTCCGCTCCCGTAGCAATTATGAAATGAAAACTGCTCGTCTCTTCTTTATTCGGATGGAATGTAGCGGGGATGAAAGTGGTTTCCGCTGTTCATACAATATAATGTTTCTAATTACTAATAATAGTTATGTTTTCATTATATGAAATGCTAGTGTCGAAATAATGTACAGAGTATCTCATCCCTATCTCTTATCTGTAATCGCTAATTACAATGCACTTTTTTTAAATGAACTTTATATTATTTTTTACGTATAAAGGATGTTGGGTTTTCTATAGACGACTTCATGGTGCTAAGAACTTTTAGCGCTTCTGGAACTACGTAGTTTTGTAGTAATGAAATAAATTTTAGTATTTTATTTGTTAAATTTGCTTCATGGGGGGGTAGGTATTCTTTGCGTTTCGAAGTATTTAAAAAAAATGAGAATGATATATAAAAAAAAGATTGGGCATTACTGGTAACCCTTAAAATTAAAATGCTTCACAAAATTCTTTTTTTTTGTTTCAAACTCTTTTATTGATATTTTATGCAAGGATAATGATCTTGAGACGCAACAACAATCGCATCGGTCTTTAAAATTCGTTAAAACGCGTTAATCCTTTTTGGAGTTATCGACATTTTTTTCCGAAAATGTCCAAAAAGTCCCCCACCACTTTCCTGTTAGAGATAGACCCAAGAGCATTAAACAAAAATGATTTGGTTTTGTTACTCCTCTAACTAGGAATATCGAAATATTTCGCAGAAAACAGGTTTTCACAGCAAGACGTATTTAACTGGATTGGAATATTTTCTGACACCACCCTGTATAGTTCACGGCCGAACTAAACAACTGTTAGAGTATTATCTTAAAAACGTCACTCTTATCACACTCTATCCGCGAAATTTTTGACAATATCAAGGTTCATTCAAAAACAAAATTAATTTATTCTTCACTTTTGTTAGTAAATCGAATATCTCATTGGATAAAGAGGTAGAGGCTTAAATGCGGGACTTCTTGACATAAAGCTCGGCATACGCGCGACATCTTAACTGTGGTTTTATCCTCGATCATCGGACATCGACCCAATGAACCCTGGCCATTCGGGTCTCTCGTAAATCGAATTATCGGAGAATTTCATGGTTGGCTATTGGGTTAGGACCGGAACAAGGGGGCGGGGGGAAGCAACACCGGGCAATAATTTAACAACACCATCGTCAACGCGTCATGGCCGTTCGACCAAAACCGATCGAACTAACCGCGATTCGGTTACGCCGCTGGTCGGCGGAATTGCCACCCCGCGCCCCCTTCTCATATTTCTATTCAATATTGATTTCCTTGCGAACACATTTGTACGAACCGTCTGGGTTTTCCATTAGCTGAATATCAACAGGTAAAAGACCCAGTGACACAAGCAAGAACGACCGACCTATAACGCGGTTGTGCAGGAATTATAACCGGCGCGTTCCGCTTTCAAATACAACAGTCAGCTTTCTTACAAAGCTATTCAAGATTGGTTTACTCCAACCAACCAAGATGAGCTGATGAGCACTTTAACCTTAAGTTGCTGAAGAGGCATTCTATATGTAATCTATATCTAAATTCCGAAGAAGAAACTAACCTTTCATGGCGCTGATTGCTTTTACAAAACGACGTATAAAGTAGTGATGATACTTTTTCCAAACCTAAACAATTTAAGTGGGTCTAGATTGATAGATGAGTTAAGTTGTTGATTTATGGGCAAACGTATTATAGATGTACGTGGATTTGATGAGATTTCAAAGTCAAAGATACTCCGATTTCTCCCCAATTGTTGATCTTTTAAAGTTTATACGTAGCAAGATCGAATACGAACTATTTTTCTAATGTTAAACAAGCTTTAGTTGTTTGTCAGCTGTTTCTAAGATAGTTTATTCATGTTTGGTAGCTAGACGAGGCTGGTGAAACCCCAAAATATGAAGATTTTAGCTTTGGTTTTCGATAAAGTAAGGTAACAAAGTTAGATGAATTTGGCTATTAAGCACCCCAAAATACGCAAATCACAGACTCCAGCTTTCCTTTTAGATCCTGTACCTAGAGTATAGGACCTTAGTTTAGTAACATCTATTTTTTCAAAAGTAAACCAAGTTACTGATATAATTTGCTGTTTATCAAACTCTGCCTGTGAATGGTAACCATTGGCATGTGACTCCTTGCTGACACATCAATGATAATTATTATTTCAAAGCTGAAAGCCACAGATTTCTTATCAACCATTAATATTTTTGATCTTTCAGCGATGCCCATTTCAAAGGCATCCGCAGGAACTGAGGAACCACTAAAACAGTTAGTAATGTCGCATATTTTTGAAAAAAATTAATCTTGCTTTCTTGTGTAAACCTGAGTATTGTTGGTTAGGAGAATGTTCCCTAATTGGCGACTTCCAATTCTATAATTAAACAATTAAATTAACGCAATTTGGTGTTATTGCTATCCATAAAACCGCTGTTTATTTGCCGGCGAGTTTTATTTGGCCGGTTACGCCTAGTTAGCCACAGGACGATTGCCAATGAAAATAATTAACCGGGTTAAATGTCGATAGACGAAATTGGTCGATAATTCGTTTATTTAATATCACGTGTTGCTAGTCGACAATGCGGGTAACCGTTTTCGATGCATTACGAATGATGAACGACTATTTTTACTATCGCAGACGGTGTGTCATTATCGAGATGAATTTTTAATGAGTATATGACACCGACGACTTCTGATTGATGCAAAAACGATGCGATCGCACAGGCGTATCTGGCTTCATTAAAATTGGAAACCGGCAAACAACAACCCAAGCTTTCGACTGACTCCAAGAAAATATGACTGTAGAAACCTTTGTGGTTGGATGTCAACTGCAACTGCTATGACCTACTAAAATGGACGCGTTTTGATTATTCTGGTAGGGTCATCGATATTGACTGCTGGATAAACTTGACGATAATTGGGTCTGGATTATTCTAGCAGGATCAGAATGGAGTACCGCCAAACTTAACATCATTATATCATCAGATGTCCTGGAAATTTTGATGGATATTCGTAAAAGATGGATGAATTATATCAAAAATTACTACTACAGGAAGATGGTAGTTTAGTTCCTAATAATTCGATGTTTGTTCCCTTTAACTTTAAAGAAGTCTTAAGTACTAGGGGTGATCTCCGTTTGAGTTGATTTGTGGAAAAATACGTTTCCGCTAAGGACACCACATCTGTCCGTTTTTTAAGTTGTTACCAGCAACTCCCAAAAGAGTAGAAGACACAAGATTCAGTTTGAAAATAGGTTTACAATTTACACTGAGGTATGTAATGCTCAGCAAGAGTATTCTTGCCTGACCAGCAGATGTTTTGAACTAGTATGCTCTACAAAATAATATGAGAAACAAAAACCAAAACTCATAGCTCATAGATTTCGAGACTACTGAAGTTGATTGGGGACCTCATATTGAAGTTACTGATTCCTTGTCCAAGTTCCAAGTTAAGTTCTAAATATCCAAGATGGAGCCTGGTCAGGTCTGGTAGTATGAAGTGCCGACTACCTTTACAAATGATAAGATAGTAACTATCGGTCATTTATGAAACTTGCTGACTTTTTGTGCACAGCAGAATTTTTGCTTTATAATCAAAATGGGCAATTTGGAATCTTTGACGAAGTTTATAAAAAACAAAGCGCCCCATATGGAAGTTGTTGATCTCTTACCCAAATTTGGATTCCATTTCACATGTTTAATCTTTGATGCTGATTTAAAATTTTTATCCCACTTTTACGTTCTAATACTTAATGATGGAGAAAGCAGTACTGACCAATTGAGACAAGCATAAGATAGTATTCATATATAAGGTGTTGATCTTTTAAAATATACAGACTTCACTATAAATATTTAGGATAGAAGATTCATGCTGATTTAATATTTAAATTCCAGTGTGAAGGTGTAAGATGAGAATCCTCGATGAATACTAATTTAATTATTAATATTTAAATTTAAAATTTTCAATATCTTCGATGATGTAGAAATGAACTCTATCTTTTTCTTCTTCTTCTAGTGCCTTATCATCTGTTGACATTGGCGATTATTTTTGTCTACTGCTGCCCTGAACAGTTCGACCGACATACCAGGACCACTTTTGCCTTCTAGTTTTCCGCGTGTTATAAGTGTGAAGCTGTTGAATGCTTAGCGTGCTTTCGAGTAATAATTTCCCGAGAATGATTCCATCTTTTGTTCAAGCTGCAACCAAGTTACGGAAATGTTTCTACTTTTTCGGGTTTAGTGTTTTTCCCTTGCAAATTAGCTTTGGCGTTTGGTTTCTTGCTAATGTTCTTCGCACATATTTACGATTATGTTGATTACTCCCTGTTTGATAATAGGACTGTATCTACTTTCACCAAAACGGTAAAGCGTGTATGGAACTTGATCTCCCCGAGCTGATCTTTGATGCTGATGTTAATGTAAGACCTTGAATGACGAATAACGCAGACCCCAGTAGTTTTACAAACGGTAAAACGGTATCCTTGTTGACGTCAGTGCCGAGTGGTCCGGGAAACGCAACAGGCTATAATTGCCGGGGTGGAAGGGGGCTGGCGGGTTGCAAGGGTGCGTGTCAAAAACAATCTGCTACCGTTTAGTTCCGCATGACCTAGCCGGACAATTTGCATGCATCGACGTCCCAGTTCGTTACAATGTATCGTTTTGTTTGGGATCCAAATTATAGGGGTGGCGCACAAACGTTTTTTATAATACGAAAAAAACAACTGCACGACAATACCGTCTGGCTTAATCAAGCGTTACTCTCTGGGTCACGCAATTGAATTTGTAATGCAATCGGCGCGCACTACTCGTGAAAATCGTAAAAAAGATTGAATGTAGGACAGAGGCAGAATGGATACGTTTTTTTTTTATTATTAACCAGAGTCGCAGGCAGGTGATATCAGTAGGCAAGTCTCACCCTTCCGCTGCAGTCCACTGCGTTCAGGTCCTGTTCCGGTATCCCGACGGTCAGCGCTCTGCGCAGATGGTCCCTGAGGTACTGCTCGTCTCCATCTCTGGCTGCCCTTAATAACGCCTGCCCCCCGGGAGAAGCCGGCGTGTTTTGGGGGGCGGCGTTTGAAGTCGGGGACAGCGTACCCCTGATGTACCTGCCGGTTGGATGTACCCTGTTTCTCACGCCTGCAACAAACCGGAACAACGTTGACCTCCCTATCGACCTCGAAATTATAAAAGACACACGGGATGTGGTTTACACGCTATACTGCTACATTTCTAGTTACTTTCTTAAAGTTAGAAACGTGTAGAATAATAAAACATAATTAGGTGTGCAAAGGCACTACATGGTGACTCGATCAAATTTGCGGCGAAAAAGTTAAAGATCATGAACTGATCTTCCTGGAAATAGCGGATTCCAAAGCCAGCAAACAGCTTCGTGCTTGGTGTTTGGTGTTGTCTATTGCCATTTTCTTTAGAATTAGTGACAGTTTAGACATCTAGAATTCCGCAATGGCGGATATATTTTGCTACAGATGAAGTTAGCTAACCAGACAAACAATACAACAACAAATTGAGTGTGATAGTCATCCATTCTTCTTGTTTAATTGAATTTCACGTCAGATCAATTCTTACATAGATCTCGTCAGATTGGAGCAGTCGGTAGGATCGGTTTATCTCCTAGATATTGATTTTTTACGCAGCTCTCGTCATAAACGAAACCATCTGCTGAGCCTTATTATTATTTTCCGGATTTGCGTTAAAACAATCCGGGCGTAGCGGTAAACGCCGCCTACGCTTTTAGGCTGCTTTGTTTCTGCGACTCTATCGATAGACAGGTGGATTGTTTTTTTTTTACGTCGTCTATCGAGTGCTTTATCTCTTGCGTCACGCTGACGCAAATATAACACGGAATTCGCTACGGAAGCCCGTCCGTTCGAATTTATTGGAAAAATGTGACACCACATAAACAAACTACCTTTTACCAAACAAACATTCATTTTTTACATATTAATACAAAGTTAATTATTTACATAAATTACTTATTTTACCAAAATTAATTAATTAATGAAATTTAATTATCTAATTTTTATTTGATCATAATTTATATAGTTAACATCAACCCTAATTCATTAACTTAATTAACAAAGGTTTTAACTGCGTCAGAACAAAAGTTACGAATGAAGAACTACTTTTCTCTCCACTTTTCTGGAATGTGTTTTATAATGTAGAGGTATTAAAGAGTCATAAAAACATATAAGGGTTATAATGAAATGCGACAATCAGTCATATCAAAATTTATTAATAAGCTTGAATGGTAACAAAGAAAAAGCTAACTCGATCCAAGCAAAGAACATTAATGTATGAGCAAAATTATGTAGGTGTGTCTAGTGTACTGTAGGTACATCAATAAAAACTTGTTGTTGTTATCCTTTCTTCGGTTTATTTCCTTATAATTATATTTGGGTATAATGTTGTTTCTACGTTTTTCGTCATTTTTTATTATTAATTTTGTTGTTTACCGCCAATCACTGGCAGTAAAGATATTTAATATCATTATGATTGTTACTATTATTTTTCACTTTTTTTTGCATCCGGGAATGGTAATAGTTCTTACATGGTTTTTTGATTTAAAAGATACCTTGCATTCTATGGTCAAGACCGTGGGGAAACTAGTGGTTCTTAGTTCATACCATTATGTTTATTTATGTAAATTGGAGGCTTTAAGGCATTTTCCGAAATCGCTAGTAAAAATCGTCAATGACGTTTTGACCTCGGCCGTTGTGCACTACTGCGTGTTCTATTTTAACGTGTCGTTCGGAATTTCAGCCGCCGCCATTGTGCCTTTCCGCGTCGCGAGAACACCCAATTTCAATGGTCTGTCAGCGTTTCCGACTCGGCCTTTCCAAGACGCGAGGATGCGAAAGATTTCAAATATTTCTGAGCGCTACGCGTGTATCAAAGGAAAAATCTCGACGTTTTAATACGTTAAGCAAGTAAACACGCGGTAATGAATCACACAAGTTGTATCAATATTTAGACTCGAGAGTCCGCTCAGCGCACGAAAATTAAATTTAATTTTGTGATTGTTATTGCAACGGTAATAATTGGACCTGCGTAATAATTTTGTTTTTTTGAAGATGCTACAGCAACACCCAGAACTATCTCCGGGGCAGACTGCGGAAGGTTAAAAAAAAAATTATCGTTTTTCATTCTCGCAATTAATTCACTCGATTAAGTGATTAATTATTTGAATTAATTAATTAATTAATTAATTAATTAAGTGATTAGTTATTGCCAATTCATTGATTTTCACAATTAAAAATAATTAATTATTGAAAAACCATTAATCTCGCAAATTGATTAATTTCAATTGATTACTTATAATTATTAAAATATGTATTAATTCTAGAATAATTATAAAGCATGATTGTAAAAGTATTTTAAGAAATTAATTTTGTTTAAAAATTTTGATAATTTTGTTGTTGGAAAACCCGCGCTTTTTTAAATTTCCATAATTTTAACTTCTCAGCAGTACAGCCCTCCGTAATTAATGTCTTTAATAATTAATTATTAATAGTAAATTTTTGTCCATCTTAAATGATAAAACAATTACAGTTACATGATTGTCTTTTATTAATTAATGTAAACTATCAACACTTTTAGACACTAACTTAATAAATATAATTAGCTTACTAATTATAATAATTAAATTTTAGTATTTAAATTAATAAATTAATTACGATTACAAGAAAAATGCCTCAACTGTGATTTTTAAGAGGTAAGTTTTAATTTTGTTTTTTCATTTAGGATGAGTTGATAATTGACGGATTTTGTAAAATTTAATATTATTAATTAATTATTTATTTTTGAAGGCCCTCTGAGGAGTTAAAATTACGCAAATTTTTAAAATCGCAGATTTTACATCTACATTAAGCAAAATTTTTAAAGAAAATTAATATCTTGACAGCCGACATATATGTCAAAAATTTGTTTTTTAATTAATCAAAAAAAAAAAAATAGCGTGCCTGTATACAGAAGAACAAACGACTGAAACCTGATCAAAAACACAGCTACCGCATGGATGAAATTCTCGCCCAAAGGTGTTTTTGAATTTTGTATATTACCGACCTCCGAAAACAGTCCACAATTTTTGCTCGAGCGTCCGATGGTGTTTAGTTTCCTTAAAAAAAAAAACGACTCATCGCCTCACCTACATTCCCTAGTCCGTTCACACTCGACCTTGCCCCCTTACCCCTCAATAATAAATGACGTATTGACAAATATAAACGAAATAATTGCGCCATTTGAATTCCTAATTAGATGGACGCTAATGCATTCCTTTCAGGGACGCGAAAATGAGGTTGTTTAACGGTCATGGACGTGGTCAGGCGCAATCGGGCCTAAGAACCTGACTGCGTGGGACACCGGAGTACTTAGGAAATAATTTTGCAAAATCACTTGGCACATCTGATACCGAAGATCGTTGTCATTCCTAGTTTCAAAACATCAAGAGGAGAAGAAAAAATGTAATTACTAGAAGAAAAAAGCGGCTTAGAAAATAATTACCTCAAAATATAATATAATGTAGAGTATGATCCACTAAGCTGTCCCATTAAAAATGGACACGTATGGATCCTAAAGCACTTAGAAAGTTTAACTTGAGTTTTACTGTATGTATTTGAATGCAGTCGACGCGACATTAGAACCAATAAAACACTAGGGTCGGGTGAAGTTTCAATCATTTAAATTGAGAGCTGATATTTAAGTAGGACAGCGCCAATGCTTCTTAAGTTGATTAAAAGTGAGGTAATATAATATCTTGTCAGATATACGATGCATAAAATATTACATTATCAAGTGGTATGGCTTTCGAAAGCACATTTTTCAAAATATATCGCAGATAAAATTTTAGAACATATTTATAATTCACCTAATGTGATTCTTTTGATGATAAAAATTAAAAGAAAAGTTACCTACAGGTAATTTTTGGATAAATTTGAATTTCTGTTTTAATTAGGTATCTATCTTTAATTTTTTTTAATTTTAAATAATACCAGTTGCACACAAACTAACAGTATGCAGATAAAAATTAACTGGTAGGGTCTTTTTCCTATATCTTTATAAGAACCATTAATTTAATCTATGTTCCTTGAACTATTTTCTGTTTGAGCTTGGTAATGTTTCTGTTAAAAAGAGGAGTTGTCATTTTTTTAAATAATATTTGAATTTAACGTTAAGTATACCTAATTTTGAGAATTTTTTCTATGCTGGATCAATTTTCTCGTTTTTTTTTATTTACAGTGTTTTTTTTTTATATTTCTGTGCACGGTCTCCGATTATAACATTTTAAAAATGTTAAAATTATTATTCTGCTTTCACACACATTCTTATAAAACTTAAAAAAACAAACAAATACTTACCGGGAGAACCGGTCACGGGAACTTGCACCGCGTCTCCAGGGAACCGATGATGGTATGTCGCGAAACGTCCCGATGTGTCGTAAGCGCGGCGCTCGACGCTTCTCTTCCTGGACGTCTGCTTAGCGAACGGCCGTTGACTGAAACCGATATATTTGTCTCGCCAACAGCCGCCGAATTTTGGACGCGAGTGCGTCTGTTTCGAGAGTGCGACGTCCGCGTCGACATCGCCGACTAGACGCGCGTCGCCATCTGTCGGAGGCAACGCGAACCTCACTCTGCGAGCCTGCAATAGAAAGTAGACCACCGTATTTTCTAACGCCTATCGATTACGGAATAGGGAATCTGAGGCGCGTCATAGACCACAGATTTCTCAGTCATTTTGTTCTCTTGAAATGTCTGGGAAATAAAAGGAAAGAAGAGCTGATATAAAGAACATTAAATAAGTAGAGATACTTAAATAGTAAATAAACAGGGGAAAAGCTCACGAAATATTAGCAAATGAATATTTGTTTGTGAGCTGAACAGCATACATAAATCAAAAAATAAATAGATAAAAAAATTAAGTTTTAAGTGTGTGTATATGGATCTTATCTGAAAACTTAATCTTTTAAATCTACTTAACTTGTTGGTGGATATAACATACCTTCAATTTCTTTTTATATTCATTGTAGGGTCTATAATTTTGAATCACTTCGGGTACCACAGCAATAATTCTGTTTGTGAGATGTCGATCAACTAATGCACTGCACTGTACAACATTTTTAGGTGTTTTATATCACAAAATTTCCTGGCATTCTTGAATATTGTGAGAAGGTATCTCAATTTTTTAATAAGTTTATGAGTATTTTCAAGTCATGTGGTTCTCCATGTAGATACCGAGGTACTTGATATAATCGGGGTAAACTATAGTGATTAACTCCGTTTTAAGTCATTTTCGACCTTATTTTTGAGAACACATCAGTATAGAAACTCGTGGGATCTGCATTTGAGTTTACACGAAACACATCCTTGATGTACAAAACAAAGAGAATATTCAGCCTTTCTTTCACAACTAAGCACACCGTCCTGGGTGACACATTGCGTTCGGTCACTGAGATAATTGACATTAATTTTAAGGGTACTCCACTTCTATTACTAAATAAAAAATATCAATCAACTTCTTCACAGAGTTATCAAAGATTTCTATCTAATGATTTATAGATTTTTTCTGTGAGTGTAGTAATGGAATCTTGGGTGGATTTACCGTTCTGGATCCCAAGTTGATGCTGATCTACGATTTGAAATTTTTCGAGATAGTGAGTGAGTTTGTGAAGTGTGAAAGCAAGGAGATTGGCCTACAAATTGTAGGGTTTGTTTTGTCGCCAGATTCATGCAGTGGTCGAACTATAACTTTTCTTAAAATTTATGGGATTCATTGGCTAGCAATATCCTTTTTTCTCTTGGAATGTTGGAGTAGCTAGATTTAAAATGTATAGTTCAAACCAAAACTAAGAAAAGAGAGTAACGGATTAGCTCCCAGGTCACGTGCGAAACTTTGCGTAACCTAAAAATACAGTTAAAATTCACCAAAGCATTGCCGGTCGCCATTAAATTAATTTTGTGGTTATTCTTTTTAGCTCTCTCTTTACTACTACTAAAGTATTGTAACTCACGACGTTCTAAATTTGAACAAATTGAGTAACGACTTATCTATACGTTTGGACACAGAAAACCGGAAACTGATATTATCGTACTTAATTCCTTTCACTTCATTGAACAATTAAAAAGCTTTACATTAGATACACAGAATATTCTGGTTAGTTTCGATGTAGAATCTCTCTTTACCAAAGTTGCCTGAAACTCGCAACATCATTTCAGATATATTAACATCCGAGAATCTGGAACCAAACCTTCTCACCTTAATCGACAAATGCTTGTCTGGAACATATTTTTCTTATAACGGTCAAATTTTTGAACAAACAGCTATGGATTCTCATCTAAAACCTAAATTTTAATAATATTTTAATATTAAAAGTTCTAAAGAAGTATAACATCAAAACCAGATGTACCACTTGTCCAAAAATCTCTCAACATCATCGGTCTGTCAAAGACAAAATTCACTTTACCACAACCTTCCAATAGCAATGATGCCGAAAGCAATCCAACACTTGCCACTATGGTCCTTCCTTACATTCAAAACATCACTGACCACATATCAAAAGTTCGAAAGAAGTACAACGTCAAAACCAGATGTACCACTTGTCCAAAAATCTCTCAACATCATCGGTCTGTCAAAGACAAAATTCACTTTACCACAACCTTCCAATAGCAATGATGCCGAAAGCAATCCAACACTTGCCACTATGGTCCTTCCTTACATTCAAAACATCACTGACCACATATCAAAAGTTCGAAAGAAGTACAACGTCAAAACCAGATGTACCACTTGTCCAAAAATCTCTCAACATCATCGGTCTGTCAAAGACAAAATTCACTTCACCACAACCTTCCAATAGCAATGATGCCGAAAGCAATCCTACACTTGCCACTGTGGTCCTTCCTTACATTCAAAATATCACTGACCACATATCAAAAGTTCGAAAGAAGTACAACGTCAAAACCAGATTTACCACTTGTACAAAAATCTCTCAACATCTTCGGTCTGTCATAGACAAAATTCCATTTGAGATGCATTCCATGCATATGCGGTAAAGAATACAATGAAGAGACCGGACATACAATTTTGTTCTTCTACCAACGAAAAATCCGAGAGTCTATAGAAATCTATAAACATTCTAACAATATTCATCCGAGACAGTGTTTATGGCCCTCATTTAGCTCCGCCCCAGCGGAGTAAAATGCGATCCAGTTTCAGTCAAGCTCTGAAGAAGCCAACAGGATGATTGGCGAAACATCAGCAGGTTCGACTCAGCAAAAACCGACGCAGGAGGAATCCAGAAGTTTTGTAAAAAGTAAAACCGGAAAACTAGCTGGTTTTAAAACAAACTACTTATTTTATTGATTATTGTTTTGTTTTATACTGATTATTTTTATGTATGTTCCTGTCTGGTTTGTGTGATATTGAAATAAAATGAATAAATTTCAAATTATATATAAAAAAGGTAAATTGAAAGTGAGTTTATTTTATAATTGGCAAAGAGTTTTTATTGTTTTAATATATATTAATTTAATTAGGATATATGTTATTTCATATTATTATTTTATCATTATTCTATGATCACTCATAAACAACCAACGGGAACTAATCACTAATGAATATAAGTTTCTCTATTTATTGTTGTGTTTTATATTTTTTATTTTTGAAATATAACGATATTAATAACTATTTCATTTTCAATACTTCTCTCCAACTTTAAGATAACTTTAGTTAGCCCGGTAGTCCTGTGGCTAATAAATTCGGTTCCGGTATTGACTAGGGAATCTACATCTCTTTCTATTTTATTATTTTTATTTTATTATATTTTTATTCACTAACGCTCCACTTATTTAAGGGAAAACAAACTGCTATAGAAGTGGAGACAGAAATTTCGAAAAATGGATTAGGTTTTCAACTGTCCAATGTAGCGGAATGTCGATTTTCTCTGAAAGCCCTTCCCCAAAAATTATTGTTTTGCGTCACTCTAGTGATTTTATAATTTATTTTCCAAAGCCCTCTTCATTTTTTTTGTCGTGTTGTCAAAGCTTCCTTTATGTGTAGATCCTTAGATTCATAATTGTCAGTCGGAGATGTAAATTTAAAGGTTGTACTAGGTGCTAGTTCTAGCCACGCCCTCACTTTAACAACCGCATCACCTAAAGAGACGTACCCAAAACGAGAATTACCTAGAAGGAAAACCACACCCGAATGGGCGTGACTCAGGTTATAGGGAACGTGGCTGTAAAAGAGACGCGTTTAGAAGGCACCACCAAGGGCGGTCGGGGTACATGACGGTGATTAAAGCCCTTCCAGAGGTGTGGTTTAATTAAAAAACGGCACGCCTAACAAAAATGGGAGCTTAGCTAACGGGATTGAATCAATATTTAAATGTTTGCTTTTTAAAAAATTAAAAATGTAAGAAAAGGAGACTCACCGGTCTTTCGGGCCTAGCGGAATCCGGACGACGAATAAAATGTTCGCTCACAACGGGAAACTGGCTGCTGACGCTGATTTTTGGACAAGCGACCCTCAAGGGCGCAGTCATTGTGGATCTGGCCCCCACCGGGCCATAGCGCAGCGACGGTAGCTCCCTCGTCCTCGACGTTGATTTTTTCGAAGTCGCCGGCAACTTTTCGGA